AAGAAAGCAAAGCCCATTTTTTGTTAATTTTTTTTCCATCATGTCGCAAATTTTACCATAATAATGCTTAAAAAAATGGTCTCATTCTCAATGTTATAAATTAAAAATATTGTTTTACCATAATCCAAATAATTGTCATTCATATTTTTATACAGCCAACAAATTTAATGTGGTGCATGCAATTAATTAAATGCACGCATTTACACTCTAAAAATGGGTTGTTTCAACCCAAATTTGGGTCAAATATGGACAAAATGTTTTAAAAAAAAATTTACAGTTGAAAGTGAAAGTTGAAGTTGGGTTACATTTTTAACCCAACATTTGGCTTCGTCTATATTTGACCCAAATTTGGGTTGAAACGACCCAGCATTGTTTAGAGGGTAAATTTAGCAGACGCTTTTATCCAAAGCATCTTAAAAATGAGTGACATCACAAGAAATCTGTCATTAAATATGTGTACCTATTAAGAAAAGCCTAATTTGCATCATTCTTGCATATAATTTATGCTACTTTTAACAAAAAAATGCTGAAATATGACACTTGACAGGCTTTAAGAGATTCACCCTATAAACATCATCACTTCACTATTAACATATTCAAGGTTTGAAAGAAGAAAACGTGTAAACAGGCTCTGATCTCCTGTCTGCAACCGCCTCCTCTAAAGCAGATTTATATCGACTCGAGGAAAGTCAATGGAAAGGCTGCAGACAGCAATCTTGCACTGGAGGACGAAAACTTTGAGCGTCCCGAAGAAAGAGGCCTATTTATTAGTGTTATTGATGAAGAGCTTGAGTTCTCCCTATAGATCATAAGCTCATTCGTCCTCACACACTCCCGCTGACGCAGCAAAGCCCTGATCCTCCTCAGAATGAAGTGTGTTCTGGAGAGAGCATGCAACTCTCTCCGCTGGGAAAACCAGGATCAATATCCCGCCGCCATCATTGTGCTGAGGCAGAGGTACAGGGTGTGCCTGCTGAGACACACACGCATGGGTGTGTGTGTGTGCCATGTGTGTACTGTAGTATCCGAGTCTTTGCAAGGACACCCTGTCTATGAAAGGAATGAGAATGCACCGGGAACGACTCGGGAAACACGCTCTCCGTTGAGTGTTGCATTTCAACGTGAGATCTCTTCAAGGAGAAGGGTTTCATACTTTGCTGTAAGAGCGAGATTTTTCTAGACGTACCTGCAAAATACTATAGATGACCTAACTTTTACCACATGTATTTGTGGAGATGAAAGTGTACATTTCTGCATCGCTGAACTGCAAAATGTTGTGGACTGAATGTATTTAGAAAGTATTCGTCGACACTAAAGTCACATCATGCACCAAATTCCAAACTTACAACTAATTTTGTCTATAAAAATTGTGAATGTAAGGCATTTTGTGCGCAACAAACAAAAACTAATTTGTGAACAAAATGCACCCAGCATGTCACAAAATGCTTTTTGTCCAATGGACAAAATCACGAAAGGGGAGTTTTTTGTGATTGAACATGTCATTAATGCATTTCATTCACAAAATGCACAATCTGTGTAGAACAGAAGCATTTCATTTACTGAATTTTACAACGTTAATTCATTCAGTCCACAAAATCAGTCTGGTTGCATTGCACTCAAGTCTCGACACCCCATAAATCTGAGCTTCAGAAATAGTAAACAGGTTTCCCAAACACTATTCTAACCAGCCATTGGTCAGCCAAACATTTAGCTCCGCCTCCAACTCAGCCCATTGGATGAGCTATAGATATATATCAGACTGGTCTGGATGCTTAAACAAGCAGAACATGTTATGAACGCTCCCTTACAAAATCAACCTACAAATGAGTTGATCTGAGGCTGCGGGCGCTTTGAAATAAAGCTGAAAAGTGCGGCAAAAAAATTCAACGTTTTCTATTTAAATATCGTTTTCTCACACAAACCGCTCGTTTCGTGTCTTAGTCCATCAATGTGTACTTACATTTACGAGTCATTAAATCATGTTTAATTTGGACTTCTCTGTGCATGCTCTTTGAGGTGGTGACCATAGACCTCCATTATATGACTGATAGAGAACGGTTTGACCTAAAATATCAAAATTGAAAATACTGTGGAAACAAAGACACCTACATCTTGGATGTCCTTGAGTTATAACATATCAAAAATTAATTTCAAAGTGAACTATCCCTTTAACACCGGAAACTACACACAGATCACTTTTCATATAGCCTAAATACATTCAACCCATTGTCATTATTAGCATCTTAAACTTTTGTCACACAAAACACAGTCCACACAATCTATTCGCAATGGATGCAAAAAGCAAACTCAAATAATTTTCCATATTAAAGAAACGCTCTGTAAAAGGGAAAAGCTGGCAATATCAGCATTGGTTGACCAAACTATTCAAGGCCTGTATAACAGAAGTTCTTGGACGACGTGATGCCAAAGTTAACACAGATTGTTGAGATCTGGGCAGGAATAATAGCACACATGCCAACTCAAGACCCGCAGGAACCGAATGCCCCTTTACAACATCGACATATTAATAATTAAACAGCTGACCTCTTGACCCTGAGCTGGAACACATACAAGAAATTCTCTTGCACTCAAACATTTTCCACGCTCACAAACGTTCTGCAGCTGGTCAAAACTTCCTCAAAACTACTCAATAACTATGAGGAGGATCAACTTTTCTGTTCATAAGCATGCACATGACACTCGAGCAAAATCAACAATGCATGTAAGTTCTTACACCAAATCATAAGTGCAAAAGCAGATCTGGAAGTTCAGGAATTCAAAATCAGCACGTGACTAATATTCCTACACCCAGAGCACAGCTGCCTTCAGATGTATGACCGCCAATGAGAAAACATCTGTTAACTCTTCACGTTTACTGTCTAAATGTTCAATGGCTATAGTCTATAATCTATAGAGTTTTGATGACCTTTCCATTTATGAGATAAGAATCGATTTTTTCACAGTTTTGTTTTGATCACGTTACTGAGAGGAAAACAACATTTTGCCCATAAATTGAACATCGTTATTCACTGTAAAAATGAATATGCTTTATCTAATCAATAGAATTGTGGCAACAGATTACAAGCAATATTATTAATTAAATAACAAATTAGAATTGAGTAATAATTAATCAAATTATTCCTTAAAAGTTAAATTTACACCAAAAAATTAACAAAAATATCTCACTAACTATTAAGAACTCTTTATTTTACATTGCCAACATTGAAGACACCGTTAATTTGATGAATTATTACTCAATTCTAATTTGTTAAATTTAATTAATAATATTGCTTGTAATCTGTTGCCACAATTTTTTTGATTAGATAAAGCATATTCATTTTTACGGTGTTGTTTGCAAGCATTTTTTTCTCTCTACACAAGCTTTTGCCATACGTTTAGAACCGGAGTTATGAATGGTTCCCACTTAACAAGGAACGTTTATAGAATTTTGGCAAATATTTTGTCGAGGTTCTCTCGAAAGTTGAACAAACGTTCTTCCAGAAACATGAATAGAATGTTTGTTCTGTTGTTGTCTTTAAAAACGTTCTTGAAACGTTAGTACAAAACGTTATTTAGATGTTCCAGCTTTTTTAAACATTTTTACTGCTTTTTCAGAGCATATAGAAAACATTTAAAAGTAACGTTCCCATGTTTGCAAAATTGCGAAAAACATTTTGAAAACTGGATGTTTTTGATGAAAACATTGCAGGATTTTTCTCCATATAATGGACTTCAATGGGGTCCAAACGGTTCAAGGTCCAAAAGACAGTTTCAGTGCAGCTTTAAAGGGCTTTAAACGACACCAGACGATGAATAAGGGTCTTATCAAGTGAAACGATCGGTCGGTTCATTCACTGAACAAAATGACTCGAAAAAAGATTCGTTCATTTTTTGATGAACAAGTTTGAACAGGAGAGTCACGAATGCGCTTCACAGAACAGAGCAAGGCGAGCATTTGGGCTTATAAAACTGAAACTTTTTTATCTATTTTTTAAATGAGTGATCGTTTCGCTTGACAAGACCCTTATTCATCGTCTGGTGTCGTTTAAAGCTGCACTGAAACTCTCATTTGGACCTCGAACCGTTTGGACCCCATTGAAGTCCATTATATGGAGAAAAATCCTGGAATGTTTTCATCAAAAACCTTAATTTCTTTTCGACTGAAGAAAGAAAGACATGGACATCTTGGATGGCATGGGGGCGAGTAAATTATCAGCAAGTTTTTTTTTAAAGTAATACTCCTTTAATGATCAGCTAGAAACCATAGCAAACCAGTTAACCACTGTCTTTACCAGTGTAAGGTGGTCATGGTTTGTTTTTTAACTACTCATCAAGCAGCAGATGATCACCTCGGGTCATGCAGAAACAGAGTTGGACAAGAATAAGATTTATAATCACTATAGAAATCTCCAGGCACTTCACTGGTTTTTCATGATCATCGGATGCCCCGTCAATCAACCCTTAGAAAAGCTTAACCCTATCCATAACCATTAACTGCTAAACCACACAACCCATTATAGGCTAATTTTAAACGGTAGAACTAATAAAGGCATAGAAAGCACCATTCATCGTGAATGTTTGAGTAAATAGTCAAATGATGTGTGACATTAACATTGAGTATCTACACGTGTGGATCCAGGCTTCAGCTTGAGCGGATTTCCAAGGAAGTTTCCAGTCCTTGCCCTCCATCCGTGCCTCTTAAGTTCTTCCTACTCCCCGTTTACTATAGACACTGTAATGCATCACAGTGTGACAAATGAGCGTTATAACAGCCGACATGTCCTGTTGGACGGAGTTTTGATCGCGAACACACAAGCGCGCGCGCTGAAGTTTTGACAAACAACCCGTCGTGACGTACCAAACACAAACGCAAACATCTATAAACAAACAAACAGCTCAATCTGGTCGGGAATACCGACGACACTCTTTATTCCCCGTTCTTCCCTTCCCCAGAAAAAGCGCCATGTTGAGAGAGAGAGCAGTGGTGTTTTTCGACTTACCTTGGCTATGGCTTTTTTATATCTCATTGTCGCTTGCTGAATAAGACTGTGTATTTTGATATTCCCATCCCCACAGGGAACGACCACCCGGGTCCTTCCAAAACACACTGTCACTTTCATATTCGCCCGATATTCCCAGAGACTCCACAGGGAAGCGCGTAAAGTGTTGAACTCTTCAGGAAGAATCAGTTAGCGACGGCAACATTATATCCATACAGGTAAAAAAGCGGGATAAATCCTCATGTTGTGCTCCTCAGGTGGGACTGGACCACCTGTTCGGCGTCTGAGTGAGCTCGTGTCGCGGGTGAAGTGGCCGTGGGTTGGGCTTCGGTTCACACACACACACACACACACACACACACATACATACATTCACACACTCTCTCTCTCTCTCTCTCTCTCTCTCTCTCTCTCTCTCCTTCAGTCTGACTCACAGCCCGTGTAGCTACATGAGGATCTGTTTCAGGTTAATGATAACTACTCGTTAAATAGTAGGCTGTTCCAGTGGTTACTAGCATAGGATAGCCTACTCTTAGTTTGGACTGGAGATTGGCTACTCTTAAAAATAAAGATTCTAAAGTTATTTTCTTGGTGTTGATTTTTTAATTTTTATTTATTTATTTATTTATTTTTACAATGATCCCAAGAGCCTTTTTTTGTTTCCCGAAAACTGTCAGTGATCTGAGCCATTTTTTTTTTAGTGTGAATAATAATGTTTTGTGGGATGTAAAGGTGTTGTGGATGTTTAAAGGGATGGTTCCGCCCCCCCAAATAAAATAAATAAATAAATGTTCCAAACCATTCATTTTCGCAACACGAATGATGATCTTTTTGATGAAATCTGATCGCTTTCTGTCCCTAAAGTGGTAAATAATGTTGTTGTTGTTGTTTCACAAACAAACCATTCGCGTTGCTTCCACAGAGGTTAAACCACTGGAGTCACATGGATTACTTTAATGATCTCATTTCTTTCTAGGGCTTGAAAGTTGTGCAGCCGTCAATAGAGGGACAGAAATCGCACAGAATTCATTCAAAAGATGAACACACATTTGTGTTGCGAAGATCTTTGACATGAGTAGCCTAATTAATGACAGAATTTTCATTTTGGGGTGAACTATCCCTTTAAGGTTCGTTATGGAGCCATTGATAGCTAGATAACCTTTATATTCAACATCTAAAGATCCACAAGTAAATTATAGTCCACACTACATAGTTTATCATGTCGCCTGGACATCTCGTCTGATGTTGAGATTGCATGTAACAGCCTGAGAGTATTACCTTACGTGTCTGATGTTGAGATGTTGCTTTACCGGTCTGATGTTGCTGAGCTCATGTGGTTTTAAGCTTAAACATGCCAGTTATGTATCATCATTAGCGAGTCCAAGCTGCCTATGATGGTGATGGATCTGATGCTGGTCTTCATCAAGCTAGACCTCCTTGAGCCAGTAACAAACCAGATAATATATCCAAAAAAAAAAACGGCTTAAAAGGGATAGTTCACTTTGAAATTAGTTTTTTATATGTTTTATCTTACCTCAAGGGCATCCAAGATGTAGGGGTCTTTGTCACAGTATTTTCAATTTCTATATTTTTAGGTCAAACCGTTGTTGTCTGTCAGTCATATAATGGAGGTCTATGGTCACCACCTCAAAGAGTATGCACAGAGAAGTCCAAATTAAACATGATTTAATGACTCATAAATGTAAATACACAAAACACAAAACGAGCGGTTTGTGTGAGAAAACGAACAATATTTATATCGTTTTACCTCTTGTTAAAAATAGCCTATAACAAGACCTAAAAAATAAAAATAAAATGAAACTACTGCGGAAAATTTCTAACATTTGCTATTCATATAAAATGACTTATTTGTTAGATTTTCATTCTAATGAAATCTTTTAAGACATAAATGTAAAACTGCATCCACATTTGGCAAGAACAGAGGTTTATTTTTTTCCTTTCCAGTGAAGACATTGGACAGATTCACAGCGCTTGTTTACTAGACAGATCATGTCTTTCATACTAGTTCAAGAAACTGTGTGGTCCATCGGTCTCTAGAAAATGTTTTTTTTTTTTTTTTATCAGTGAAGATAAATACGTTTTGACAAAAAAAAAGGTAAAAAAAACTTTTCTTATTATTTCTGCTTTTTATAATGCATAACGCCCCCTTGTGGTAGAAGCAGGGACTTTGTCCTGAAGTATCTGCTTTTCTCTTCTAATGAAGATTTATTGATTTCTGAAGCATCCAGTGACGTGACATCTGTGTATCTGCAAAATGTCAGGCTTACGTAAGATGATGTATATTATACAGAAATGTTTTGCGGATGACACACACAGACACATTTTGGTCGGGCTTCTCCATATGGGTCTCATTAGTGCTGAATCCTCAGCTAGGAGGAGCTGAAAGAACAGGCTGTTGCTGAGTGAGATTTGCTTACAAAGACTAGCAGAGAGTCTGTCATCCTTCAGCTCTCTCTCTCTCTCTCTGAGTCGACCCCATAGTAAGTGACGTACAGAGAGTGAGTAGTACCACGTGACCGCTGCAGATTTATTTTTGAGCTAATAATGCAAGAGAAAAATACTGTATAAGTCTGAATCCAAGGACATGTTTTTTCATCTCTTATTTACGGTAATTATGACATGGTCTTCAATATTATGGAAGGCGATTAGCATGCAAAACTTGTGAAACTGACGGCTTGACGCACACAGCATTGATATACAGTTCTGTGATGATGAATTTATGGAGGTCGTAAGCTTGCATCCCCTCGACAAATGGCCAATATGATTTTACATTATTTTATATCAATATAACATTCACCAATACCATTCTACAGACCAGTGTCATTTTCAGGGAGTCAAGCATCCAAAAACACATACTTAACTATAAAATAGGCTATATATATATATATATATATATATATATATATATATATATATATATATATATATATATATATATAATTCACAGTTCTCATAATAGAGTACCAGGATGACCTCCTTCTCCCAGTGAGATTGAAGTGTGCATATGATGGACACTTTACTATCCCATGAGGCCACGGGAGAGGATTTATGAATGGCAGTGATGCAATGATGAATGTAGTGCGTCTGGATTATATATAGAACATACTTTTTAGCGGTTGTGAAGTAATTACTTGTTCAAAATAAGTACCTACTCAAGAGAGTATGAGATTTAGGACGCAGCCCAAGTCATAACTGCGACTTCAGGCAGTAGCACCTCATTGCAGTACACGAGATCCAGGGGGCGGAGTCGGATCCAGATCTGAGGGGTGGAGTTGGGTAGGTTTAGGGGTGGGGTTAGGGATCAGGGGGTGGAGCTGGGTAGCTTTAGGGGTGGGGTTAGGGATCAGGGGGCGGAGATGGGTAGGTTTAGGGGTGGGGTTAGGGATCAGGGGGTGGAGCTGGGTAGGTTTAGGGATCGAAGTGGAGCTGGTAGGTTTAGGGGTGGGGTTAGGGATATGGGTGGAGCTGGGTAGGTTCAGGGGTTAGGGTTAGGGATCAGGGCGTGGAGTTGGGTAGGTTTAGGGGTGGGTTTGGGGATCAGGGGGTGGAACTGGGTAGGTTTAGCGATCAGGGGTGGAGCTGGCAGGTTTAGGGGTGGGGTTAGGGATCAGGGGTGGAGCTGGGTAGGTTTAGGGGTGGGGTTATGGATCAGGGGTGGAGCTAGGTAGGATTAGGGGTTGGTTTAGGGATCAGGGGGTGGAGCTAGGTAGGTTTAAGGGTGGGTTTAGGGATCAGGGGGTGGAGCTATGTAGGTTTAGGGGTGGGTTTAGGGATCAGGGGGTGGAGCTAGGAAGGTTTAGGTACATGTAAGGTGGAAGGAGTTGGATCTGGATCCGACTCCTCCCCGTGGATTTCATGTTCTGCAGTGAGAACCCCAGTGAGGTTTAGGGGTGTGGTTAGGGATCAGAGGGTGGAGCAAGTAGGTTTAGGGGTGGGGTTATGGATCAAGGGGTGGAGTTGGGTAGGATTAGGGGTGGGTTTAGGGATCAGGGGGTGGAGCTAGGTAGGTTTAGGGATCAGGGGGTGGAGTTGGGTAGGATTAGGGGTGGGTTTAGGGATCAGGGGGTGGAGCTAGGTAGGTTTAGGGGTGGGTTTAGGGATTAGGGAGTGGGTTAAGTGATCAGGGGGTGGAGCTAGCTAGGATTAGGGGTGGGTTTAGTGATCAGGGGGTGGAGCTAGGTAGGTTTAGGGGTGGGTTTAGGGATTAGGGAGTGGAGCTAGGTAGGATTAGGGGTGGTTTTAGTGATCAGGGGGTGGAGCTAGGTAGGTTTAGGGGTGGGTTTAGTGATCAGGGGGTGGAGCTAGGTAGGTTTAGGGGTGGGTTTAGTGATCAGGGGGTGGAGCTAGGTAGGTTTAGGGGTGGGTTTAGGGATTAGGGAGTGGGTTTAGTGATCAGGGGGTGGAGCTAGCTAGGATTAGGGGTGGGTTTAGTGATCAGGGGGTGGAGCTAGGTAGGTTTAGGGGTGGGTTTAGGGATTAGGGGGTGGAGCTAGGTAGGATTAGGGGTGGGTTTAGTGATCAGGGGGTGGAGCTAGGTAGGTTTAGGGGTGGGTTTAGTGATCAGGGGGTGGAGCTAGGTAGGTTTAGGGGTGGGTTTAGTGATCAGGGGGTGGAGCTAGGTAGGTTTAGGGGTGGGTTTAGTGATCAGGGGGTGGAGCTAGGTCGGCGTAGGTACATGAAAGTATCTGGATCCAACTCCTCCCTGTGGACTTCATGTTCTGCAGTGAGAACCATCTCACTTCAGGTACCAGAGTAAGATAGTGATGTAACTTTACTACAAAAAATACGGGATTATTTATTTTTTGCCTTATGTGTGTTTTTAACTCATTTTGTACATGTAACTTAGTTTTATTGTAAATGAAGAAATTCCTTTCAACAAATTTCCCGTCAACACAGATGTATTAGTGGCGTCCACCATATTTCCTCACTTTCACGCCCTAAACTCATGGAAAATCTCTCTGCGGTGGCTCACATGCATTCAACTTATAAACAGAAATGACGTACAAAGATGCTAAAAATTCACCTTTAATAATTGCCGATGATGATGAAGTCATTCTCCTTAAAGCATTTACGAAAAAGTGTGTTTTTATTTGTTTATTTGACAAGCAGCAGAATCATGTTTGTCACCTCTTATATTTCGAAAGTAAATGCAATTATCAGTATACCGGTTTTATTACAATATTTCTTTTTACTTTGATACATTAAAAAAAGAATACACACAACAACTGCAACGTGAGAAAAAGAAAGCGTGGTTGTTTTTTTTCCGGCCGTTTCTCAAACTTTTCACTTGTTTTGCTCTATGTGATGCATTTCATTCGCTCGCTTTCTCTTGTAGATTACGTCTAAAAATGTATTATCCTTTTACACTGGAGTAGCTATAGGCATTCTTCTCGTTTGGTAGACGCACTGAGCGTGGCACTGGTGATGTAAACAGCATAAAATCAGAAGGAGGAAGAGGAGGAGGAGGGCGGGGGGGTGGAGAGATGAAGTATGACCGTCCAGCGACTCAGAGGCCCGATAACAAAGATGGAGGCACAGAGTCCCGATTCAATCCGATGGTCGAGTGCCGGAGCCAGCCAGAGCCGAAAATAAAACACATCTTAACCGTTCACGCTTCACGGCGTTGATTTTCTTTCATTAAATTATTATGGTTTTATGCGACATAGCTGTATTCATCCGCAGAGCTCTGGCTGCGCTCGATGTACTGCTTGTCGATAAGAACCTCAATGCACTTCTTGATCATGCTGATACTCGGGCTGAATCTCGCTTTGGATTGGTTGATTACCTGAAAGAAAAAACACACACACAAAGAAAAATTAGGAGGCTTATATTTAAATGCAGTGTATAGTATGCACATACGGTGCAATTCAAATACATTGCACATTATAAAATGGACAGTTCCAGTCCTAGATGCTGATTGGTAACAAAAAAAAAGTAGTAATGTACTGTAGTAACAGCGAAAACACTGAAAACATAAATGCAGAATTAAGATTACTTGATGACAGTGATTTGAACATAATAATTGCATGAGTAAAATAAAAAAGTGATAAAGTCACATTCTGTACACATTCAGGGTTATCATCATTAACTAATACGTTTCTAAGCTAAAAAAAAATTATATTAGTCGAAAAACTTTTGTTGCGATGGCAATAAACTGAACCAAGTTTATGTTGAAGCACTAAAATTATTAACTGGAAATAAATAAATATTTAAAATCGAATTCATTCTTTTTATCAATCCAAAAACTAAAAAAAACCAGTGCTTATTTACATAGCCGTATAGCCCTTAATCCTGTAATTGTGGACAAATGTGGGCACAGAGGAATTTGTATTTATTATAAATGTTATATCACTGTCTTCGATAAAGTTTTGTCTATCCATTTATGGTGTTTTTTTTTTATTTTGGGGGTATTTTTGAATTTATTTACTTCAAAAAGTACCATATTTTCGATTTATTTTTTAAAATTTTTAACTACATTAAAATATCATTCTAATAAGTTCTTAGAGCTAAACCCTAAAGATGAAGTAACTTTGCTGTCACCTGGTGTCTTATTTTGGCTTATTTTAGAGCGCTCTAAATTACAGTTTTGCCCATTCATTTCTATGGGTGGCCATTTTTGACCCAAATACAAGATGAAGGAGTTTTTTGGGAGGGTTTTTTAACCCACTTAACATTGTAGAATTGAGTAAAAAAAAAATGTGTGTGTTCAAGAGGCTTGTACGTCTTGTACCGCTCAGATCAATGGAAGTATTTAAAAAAAAAAAAAAATCAAAACTATTTTTACGGTTTTAGGGTTAATTATTTTAGTTTTATTAATATTTTCTCTGAAAAATACACCCCATGCCCACTTTGTTGTGTTTATTTTTCTCTTTATGGCATACTTTTTCACATAATAAAAAAAAAAGTTGCATTTAGAGTTTGCAGTGTGTTAATGTTCTGAATCTGAACCTTACATTCAGATACGAGTTGTTTATAAACTTGGGAACGAGAACGTTCTTGAGAACTGATCTTGTCGTGACTGACCCAGAAACTGAGGATTTTATCTTTTTTCAGCCAAGCTTGTGAACAGATTAAAGTTGCAGACTTTATTGATATTTCATATTTCCTACAAGATAAAAAAGCTAAGCAAACTTGCCGGCATCACACTGTGTCCTTGATACGCAGCACGACGAATACATGAATGTTAGCGTGTCTAGATGCTGGACGAGAAGATAAACTTATCTAATAAAGCAACAAATTGAAGGCTGAGGGCTGCTGTTTTCTGTGTGTGTGTGTGTGGACAGCTGCATTATAACACTGCAGGAATAACTGGAGCGCTAGTAGAAACTGACAGCCCATAATCAAATACATCTCCCTGAGTTCACCCCTACATTAGCAGCCGACAGCTGAATATGTTAGTAAATGTTTTGTCATTTCCACAGCGCTGACTAAAAGCAACTTGTTTGTAGAGCCCGACCGATAAAGGATTTTGAAGGCCGAATATTTTGAGGTTTTAACTGATGGTCTTCAAAAAAAGTAACAATTCCAGTCTTCGGGGTCTATTGGACCCCAGACAATAATATTTAATTTTGTAACAGAATAGTTTTTTTTTTTTTTTTAACAAATATAATTTTACTCTGTTTATTAATGTTTTTACTCAACATTTGTGTAGTTTTTGGAAGATTTATGATTTTTTTTTTTTTATTTCTATAAATAAATAAATAAATATTTATTTAAATAGGATTTTTACAAAAAAACCAGCATTTTATGTGAAATAAACTTTATAAAAGACCCAGATTTCTAACTTTCATTCCTGGGGATACCATGGATAATTTTACAAGGTTGAATGTAAGATTTTTTGCCTAATTTTTGGAAAAAACAGGTTAAAATTTGTAATAAGTCACTTTATCCACTAGATGGCTATAGAGCTTCACTAGGCCTATAACTATTTGAATTACTGAAAGATATAGTTTCTAAAGTTGGATTCAGTTGGATTCATATCTAAATATTGTAAAAGCACACTTATAACAAAAATAAAATACTTTTTGTCAAAGTTTAGCCTTGGTCAAAGTTGGAGTCTTAAGATTTGATCATTTATTTCAACTGAACAGCAATAACAAATTAGCAAATAAAGCAGTAAAAATAAAATATAAAAAAAAAAAAAGAAGTAAATTGGGTAGAAAATCGAATAACTAGGAACAATAGTTTGGAACAATAGAACAGATGGTCTCATCTCTTTTATTTTTTTTATAGCCTTACAAATGTATTCCTGTGTGTGTGTGCACATTTTCAATGTGTCTTAGTGTTACCAATTTATTTTTGCGGTGGTTCTGCATTTTAGAGTATTTTATTTTACAAATGATAAGCGAATAGTTTTTATAGTCTGTATGTATTCCTGTATATTGCATTCCTCTATATGTGTGTGTTTGTGTGTGTGTGTGCATGTGTGTGAGCATGATAATTTTGGATTGTGGATGTTTTTTGCATTGTTGGAAGTGTGCCACTTAATTTCTGTCATTTCTGTCTGTGTTCTGCATTATTTCTGATTTTGATGATGAATTGTGTCTATTTTGAGTCCAATGATAAATAAATATTTATTTATTAATTTATAGATATTTAAAAGATATCATAAATCCTCCAAAAACTGCACAAATGTTGAGTAAAAACATTAATAAACAGTAAAATAATATTTGTATACAAAAAAAAAACTATTGTTCTGTTACAAAATTAAATGGTATTTTTTGGGGTCCAATGGACCCCGAAGACCACGAGTGTGACTATTTTTGTCACGCCAACATAAAAACAGATAGAATTCCATTTTAAATTTTTTTTTTTGTAGATCTTGACAGTGTTGAGAGCCGTAGCAAGTTTCATACCATTTGGAAAAAGAGAACATTTTTTTTAATTCAAGCAAATTTCATTTGGGGTCTAACAGACCCCGAAGACCATCAGAGGGTTAAAATTCGATATATCGGCCGATATTTTATTTATTTATTTATTTATTTATTTATTTATTTTAAACTGGACATGATAGTCACAAAATTCCTGCTTATTTGAGTTAAGAGAACTGATGGGGATGATCTTTTAATTGTTATTCAAGCAACGTATGTATCGTGACCAACTCAACGAGTGTTGCCAACAGGAACGGTGTAGAGTGCCCTCTGGTGGACAAACTATACAACTCCAACACTCATGACATGGTTCAAGCGTGTTTTTTTCCGTTTTTATTTTATTTTTTAAAAAAAATATTCATTTATCGGCATATTATATGAACGCGTTTATGCACTATCGTTCAGGCACAACACTGGGGAAGAGACACGTCTTCAGCGGCCCATAACAGAGCAGAAACGCGAGTGAATTGGCTAGCTACAGGTGCGTGCAATGACGTGCGGGTCGGATATACGTGACCTGGCCGTTCAGATTGAAGTCGCATTTCAAAAGATCGGATACATATCGGATTTGGACCACATACCCAAGTGGCCTGGGTCGCATTTGAAAAGATCGGATCTGTGTCGTTCAGACTGTCATGAAAAAATCAGATACAGGTCGCATAGGGGCAAAAAAAATCGGAATTAGGTCGTTTCAGCCTGCGTGTGAACGTAGCCAAAATCATGAAAATAAAGAACAGATCTTACTGCTCCTAAAATGGGCTTCATTTTCTTGATGAAAAATACAAGTATTATATCTTTATCATTGGATTCTGGGGTCAGATATGACATAATGTTATGATCTATTATACCATTCCCTCTTTATTCAGTTCAAAAGAGACAAACAATGTACAGCTTGTCTACGCTGTGTGTGTGTGTGATAAAGACAGTATACATTACAGTGGTGTTGTGTAACAGCCTGTGTTGGCGGACTCTCTCTCTCATCAGACGTGTTCTGACAGCAGTCTATGACAAAGTCTCCCATTCCTGAGATTTCACAGCGCTCTTATCTGCGCTTCCAGTCTGACCTCTGCGTCAGGGGCCGCACTATACACCGCACACCGTGCTTTCGGTTCATAGAGGCCGCAAGTGAAGATTATACACTGAAATAGGGCTGGGTATTGAGACAAATTTCACAATTCGATTCGATTTCGATTACAATTTGATTCGATTCAATATTGATTATTTTGGATATCAGTTACAATAAATGGCAAATTTATTCAAGGAAATCAAATCTCTTAACTAATGCTGTAAACTATGGGAGTCTAGTTGTAGCCTATAGGCTTCATTAGCCTAATATGAAGGTAATAATGAACTGTTTTGTAACTATACAAAAAACATTTAAATTACACTTTTATTTATTTTTATAATAAGAAGATTATATGAAATATAAACATTTAAATGGTGGCTGTCAAAAACTTGCCAGATTTATTCAAATATGCATTAAATATTGAAGAACATTAAGATTATAATGCATATGTAATATGGTGTATATATTTAGAGTTATTTTTTCTAGCTGACTAACGAGTTTATGTGGGTTTTCTGAGGTAAATATGACATATACATGACATTGATTACAAGCTGTTTAACTGACGTCTTTCCACGGTTGAAACGCTGATTGAGCGAATCAATGTGACATGATACGGATTTAGATAAGTTGTACTCTATCTTTAACACACTTTCAGATGCTCATTCATGTTTATTTGGCGCTGTGACTGGTATTATTAAGCCGGAAGAGAGATCAGCGCTGCTGCTTCTCCAGAGCGATCTCACGCCACAGCACCAAAACGCTATTTATGTTTTTGAATTTCTAAAGAAAATGGACGTAATTTGAACATTGAGACTTTGTTTCATATCAATAGTAACAAAGAACAAAGATTATTGCGATTTGTTGGATGCGCGCAGCCGCGATTCAATGTCCCATTCATTCAAATGAAACAGGATGACTAATCGATTCTTGAGATTTAAGAATCGATATCGGTTCGTAAAAATGAGAATCGATTAATATCGAGAAATTGATATTTATTACCTAGCCCTACACTGAAACATGGCAGTTTTAGCAGACGAGAGTCATCTCACCTCCTGTATGAGGGCGTTGTGTCTCAAGATTTTCCTGGCTTTCATAATCCTCACTATAGCAGCCTGTAAATACATTTTCCTGTCTTCATCCACGGCACTCCTCGTCTGTTCCAGTTCCTGCCACACACAGAGGACGTAATGGTTTATATGACGAGATATTGTGACCTCAGAAGTGTATTTCAACAGAAAATTGCAGACCAAGGATGCTCAGATTAAAAAGCTAAAGTGTATTTTTTGAAGGGGCAATGAAAGAAGAATCATGAAATCCAGTTTGGTGTTTGATATGATGTATTGAATTATAGTTATGTTAAGTTTCTCTATGATTTGATTATTAAAATGTATGATTTATGATTTGCAAATGTGTTTGTTTTCTATTAATTGTTTCTATTTTGGTTATGGGTTTTGAGATATGTCTACTCCTAAATGTCAAGTCAATCACATGGGGAAAGTAACTGATGACTGAATGTGTTAATGGACCCACCGTTAATTGCATCCAAAATAAAAGTTTGTGTTTACATAATATATGTGGGTGCACAGTGTATAATTATTTTATATATATATATGTATATAAATACACACACATGCTTGTATATATTAAAGAAATATTTTTATGTACATACTGTATATAGATTTATATATAATATATAAATATTTTATATATAAATAATATTTTTTTCTTAAATACACATGCATGTGTGTATATTTATATACAGTATATATAAAATAATTATACACAGTGCACCCACATATATTATGTAAACACAAACTTTTATTTTGGATGCGATTAATCGTTTGACAGCCCTATTTTTTCCAAGTAGGTTGTGTTTGTATTGAGAATTTCCACCACAATGTTCAACAAGATCAACCTCTGCTCAACATGAAGACTGTACCTGTGGTGTGTCCTTCTGCATTGACGTTGTGATCTTGAACTTTGTTCTTTTACTGGTGAAACTCATAATTAGGGAAAAAGTGGATTCTGCCTCAATTTCCTCCTGGAGGGAAAAAGAAAGTGGGAGTTTAGTTATAATCCATCAATTAACAGTTTGATTAAAGTGCCCCAGTTATACCTTTTGTCCGGATATCACCTTGCATGCAGTGTGTAATACAGCTGTGTGTGAATGTAAAAGTGCAGATAAATGAGTTATTGTCCCGATCGTCAGTAATCCCAAACATACTTTCTGCTCGATCCGACGTAGGTTTGTAAATGATTTGCATTATGCCAGCCTATGGCCTTCATTGACTGCCTGTGAACAATGGGTCTACTTTGACCCTCAAACACTGTAGTTGTATCTGAGACTGGACGAGTTCGGTTCAGGACATGTAAAGACGACACTGTTTTCTGCTGCAAAGCTTTGATGCACTTCCAAATGATGAGGACTTGAAATGATACGCCATTTTTTCTGTTCGTATCACTGTGTATCAAGTGCTGAGAAAGACCCAGAGATGAAATTTATGGGATTTTTTTCTAACTCATAAACTAACTCGTTAGTTTAGATCGGATTTAGATATAAAATGTATGACAAATAAGGGCGTGGCAAACTTTGATTGACAGCTGATAACGAGTGGAATCCCTGAAATTTGACGTCTCGGCCATGTCCTTTCTGAACATTTTTGTATTAAATTATCGTACATAAAATGGGTTGCTCTGCTATAAACTGCACTAACCGACACTGTAGGAGGACTAGAGCCTGACCGATAAAGGATTTTGAAGGCCGATACCGATACAAATATTTGTTGGTTTTAAAATACGATATTTAAAAAAAAAAATTTTTCAGAAACGCACAATAAAACATTAACAGATTTCCCTAACATTAGTTATTTGTGGTTATTTTTGAGTTTTAACTAAAATAATATGATAATGCATTTAAAAAAAAAACTTGTTTCTTTTATTGTCACAACGGAACAGACTGATGATGGTGGCATTAGCTAGCTTTGTGGTTAGCTAGTCTATGACGAGCCATTATTTAGCAATGGATAACGTCATACTTCAAAGTGTAAAACATAAATTTTCAATATAACAGGCCGAGGAGAGATGATACGTCTCATTGCTATAACGGTCACGCGCCATTAAAGAAATACTTCAGTCACATTGTCAAAAGTTAAAAGGACAGTCAGTCAACTACTCTGTAGTAACGTAACGTAAATATTACTAGCTAATTCCGCTTCACTCTCGGCTTATTTAACAGCGGCAAAACTGGACATGATAGTCACACATTTTATCATGTTTATTTGAGTTAAGAGAACTGATGGGGATGATCTTTTAATTGTTATTCAAGCAATGTATGTATCGTGACCAACTCAACGAGTGTTGCCAACAGGGACGGTGTAGAGCGCCCTCTGGTGGACAAACTATACAACTCCAACACTCATGACATGGTTCAAGCGTGTTTCGTCCATTTTTATTTGATTTTTGAAACATTAATTTATCGGCCATTATAACTGGCGATACCGATAGTTTGGAAAATGCCTAATATCGGCCGATAATATCGGTCTGGCTCTAAGGAGGACTTCATTTTTTCCGGTAAGTGGCATTCCTATGTGACTATTTCACGTAGTTAGCACTATTTAGGATCAATGTTTGTGGGCAGTGGCACTGCTACAGTTAGCATTAAATCGCCTCAGATAAGTTAAGTTAGCGTCCGAGGTACTTTACCTATGGTTATAACTGACATTTTACCCATATATGGACAGGCCGGAAGGTGGGCGGGGTTAGGACTTCTCAAGATTTTCAAAAATGGCCCACAAACGGCCTCGAAACCGTTCTTCAGAAAGTTTTATAGGTGACTTTCCTTTTTTTTTTCCAGTCTATGCTTACTTTCTCAGAGTCGTGGCTGATCATCTTGACGTCCAGCAGAGATTTAATGGTCTTCTGGAGCTCCTTCTCGTTCATCTGCGTGCTGTCCTGCAGTTCTTTATAGCTCACGGTCTCGCTGTTATTGAACGCCAGCAGCACGGCCATCTGATAGGTGGTCACCACCGCCACATACGGCTTGGACAGATAATTCATCTTCACCTCACCTGAGAGAAACAAGTCGGTTGAGAGAGACAAAATGCGCTTATACTACATCCAATCTGTACTCAACCGTGCAGTGTATGAATTTTATAAGGTCATTCGGCATCAGTCTGATCCCTCCATTACTTCAGGAAAGCTGTGACAGTGCATGTTTCCGGTTAATTAAGTGTGTGTAAAATGCATTTTTTTCTTGTGAACACGCCATTTATAAAACCAAACGACCAAAAATAGCACGCAAATTAGGACGCACCTTTAAACTTATACTTAATTAAAAATTACACGTGCTTCCTTGACAACTAATTTAAATAAAATACATTTAAATTTAAAGCTACACTGTGTGATTTCTGCCCCCATCTAGTGGTGAAAAGGTATATGACCATCCAGTGAATATTAGTTTCTGTTCCTCTCAATTCCGATTGCGTTTTAACTCCTACGGTGGCCAATGTAGTCCAAGATTAACAAGGCTTCCAGTTCGACCTCGTCCATGAGTGTTAACTCAAACGTAAACGCGAAAGGCGAAGCTTGAATTAACCCTCTTTGGCTAATGTACATTCAAGATTCGAGGGGCAACATGGCGACCGACATCAGAACCCCTTACCCGTCCCGTATGCATTTTCAATGGCATATTATACACTCACGAGAATACTTTATTACTTAAACGAACTAAATATACATTAATGAGCACATATATTTTTGAAAGAACTAAGTGTTTTACTTTTTAGCTAAGAATAAACTAAGAGTTACACAGTGTAGCTTTAAGTAAATTACAACAACTAAAGCTGATATAATAAAGAACCTGAAGCAAAATAGAAATATTAAATATTAAATAGAATAATTTTAGCAGCACCTAAAATTACTAAAACTTAAAATTAAAAAACTAAATTAATTTAGAATATTAATACATAATATCCTATATAAATAATACTAAAATGACACTAGAGAGAAGTGCAGATATGACTATGAAGAAGCTCAAATATAAAATTATGTTTCGATTTGTTTAACTTGTCGCATATTTTCCATATTTCATGAACTTTACAATTATTTAAAAATCTTAATAATAATGAATTAGTAAGTGTGTTGAAACTTTGGGTTAAAGTCCTGCACACTTATATGAGCGAGTCCTAGCAGTGTGACTGTATCTCGCGGCGGTGTTGACGGATTACGCGGGATATTTTGTCACAGCTCAGTGTGATAATCTGACTCTTGGCAGGGATTTGCTGTGTTTGTGTAGAAATACCAGGTGCGGCTAATCAGACTTCAACAGCGCCAGCCAACAAACATTTGATGTGTTCGAAATCGCCCCCTATTCCCTGCATTGCTCCACTTTAAGTAGTGAATAAAAATGAGTGTGCTGGAAGGGATGCCACTTTAGCATAGTTCGTGCTTGCTGTTTAATAACCATTTGAAATTTATCAGATTGGCAGCTCCAATAGTAAAGAAAATATTTTTCTTAAACTCAGTTTTAGAAACTAGCATGTATTAAATATGAATTAAGCACGCAGTAGCCAAACGCGAGCGCCATCTTCAGGTCAGACGTGGAAATTCATCCAGCAGCATTATGGGTATTCTCTAACTATCCGCTAAGTGTACATCAGTTGTACACAGGTTATTGTGGTGCATTGTGGGATTGAATGCACTCGATAACGTCCACCACGACAAATGACTAGTGCCCTATTTAAGGGTTTGGGGTGATTTCCAATATAAATATTAAAAAGTTTGTAGGGATGGGCAATGATTAATCGGGATTATTCGCATCCAAAATAAAAGTTTGTGTTTACATAATATATGTGTGCGTAGCCGTAGCGTGTATAATTATTTTATATATGTAAATAAACATATGAAGAGTTCAGATGCAAAAGCCTCTAAATGCCATTTGAAATTTTCTTCTTTAATGATGATTTTTATCAAACTTGTATATTTAAGTTCAGTAATTTCACTTAAATGGCAATGATAATTACCTATTAATTGTTATTTAAGTGAAATTTGATAAAAATCATCATTAAAGAAGAAAATTTCAAATGGCATTTAGAGGCTTTTGCATCTGAACTCTTCATATATTTAAGAAATATGTGTTCTTAATATATCCAATATTGATATTTATACATAATATTAATTATGTATAAATACATATAAAGTATATACATGCAAATATTTCTTAAATATATACATGTATGTGAGTGTATTTATATATACAAAATAATTATACACCCTACACACAAATATATTAAATAAACACAAACTTTTATTTTGGATGTGATAAATCACGATTAATCGTTGCCCATCCCTATTGATTCAACACATAAATTTAGTAAAAATAAATTAAAATATATATTTTTATATGTAAATAATTACAATTAATTAATCAGCGTAATATCTTAAAATGTTTGGGGTCAGTACGATTTTTTTTTTTAAAGAAATTAATACTTTTATTCGGTTTTGCCATCACAGGAATCAATTACATTTGATTTAACATATTACAATGGGAACACAGCATTTTAAACCGCAATAATATTTCACTTGTAACATGTAAGGGTTAAATAAAGGTTTATGATGGACTTTACCTGTGCAGAGATAATGTAGCCAGGTCAACTTCCTTCCGCTGAAGTGCTGGTTATAAAACAACTCGAACTGCAGAAGAAAGAAATCCGTTAAATCAGCGTCATCTACTTTTATAACGAAATGAAAGAGGATTTCACATGTTTATCTCTCAGTACATGCAGGACGCTGAAGCTCCTGCCCCTAATGATGATGCGTACGGTTTGGGCTTACCATTTGTACACTTTTCTCCAGCTCCTGTGGGATGGCGAATGTGGAAGAGGGAACGTGTGTGAGGGGCCACGCACCCGCCTGAAACACACACATATTCAACATTATTATATATGATTTATCTGTGCACATTTTAACCCTTGTGCATCCTTATGGATATTTTTGTCCTTTTCAGTTTTGTTTTTTTTGATCAATTTGCCTGTGTTAAAGCTAACTGCAAAAAAATTGGCACAGGTGTGTATTTTTATTGGAATTTCACTGCCATTTTCTTAAAAAAATCTTTTTTTGCATTAGATACAAAAAATACTCCCTCTCAGCGCCTTTTGGACAAAAATGTCCCCATTGAAACCCATTAAAACTGCAATTTTTAATCCCCGGTTCAGTTAACTATAAAATTATGCAATCTTTGTAAAGAGGCTTTCATTCTGTTGGCAAGGCTTCACATTTTTATTTTTTTTACTATTTTTTTTATCAGATGGTGCCATTTTTCTAAGTTTGGCCTATAAAACAAATATGGCTTTATTCCTGTTTTCTGGTTCGGCATATTATAGAGCCAACTGGATAAATTATGCAACGATATTTGTGTGGGTGTGTTGGTATGTATGTGTGTGTGTGTGGTTAGTATGTGTGTGTGTGTGTGTGTGTGTGTGTGTGTGTGTGTGTGTGTGTGTGTGTGTGTGTGTGTGTGTGTGTGTGTGTGTGTGTGTGTGTGTGTGTGTGTGTGTGTGTGTGTGTGTGTGTGTGTGTGTGCGCATGTGTGTTTGTAATACTGAGAGAGAAAAACTGCAAATTCAAATCCAATCACTGTGAGCTCCAGTGGGGTTTTGCTGACACCCAATGGGGAAAATATGTTACTGCGCCCAAACAAACTGTTACCCAAAGCTCATTTTTTGAGATATCATCCTCAAATTTGAAACACAACCTATTTAGATTCATGGCTTTGATTTTATTGCAGTTTTGAGTTGAACCTGATTTATAAAATTAATATTTTATATAAAATATTTTTTATAAATAATTTTCATTAACTTATACCTATATAACTTTTTTTGGATTTACTTATTTATTTATTTTTTTTTACTTCAGCAATAATCTGCAATGGGTCTTCCTTAAAATGATACCAAACTTAAGTCTGTGCTCCAAAGCGTCACATTTTTATGACAGTTTTTTGACATTTTTGTCCTCTAAGTACCTATGTGTAACTTTTTGTAATTGATGCACAAGGGTTAAATTCATGTTCCTGGTAATCTTGAATCAGAATAACTCTTCTCTGATGATGTGGGCGGGGCAACCTGTCACTCACATGAGATCAGCCAATAGCAAATCACAACCAGACAATCAATCCCCACCCTCATTTGTTCTTGTTCCAGAAGCCGTTTCGCTCGGATATGCGTCAAAATAGGGAAGAAAAGACTAGCGCAACTTCTGTTTCATGCTGATTTTATAGTCATAATTTAGTGTTTTATGACCCTTATAATTAAATAGGCTGTTGTTGCAACTGCATGTTGAAGACTTCTATATATAAATGACCTCTGTTACGATCAGTGTTGGGTGTAACTAAATACTAAGTAATTAGTTACTGTAATTTAATTACTTTTCCCTTGAAAATGTAAAGTAAGGGATTACTCCTCATTTATCTGTAATTTAATTAGTTACTTCTGATGTAATTGAGGTAAATATTGTGTATAGATCAATCCGATCTCACAGCGATTCGTATGAGGTGTCTAAATCGTACGACCGCACTCGTACAAATTCGTATGAATTATTGTAAAATATGTATGAAAAAAGTGTGAAATGTCATGAGATCAGACATACGTAAAACAATAGTGGGTTTAACATCAAAATGTATTGTCTGATGCTAAAAAGTATGTTTTTATAATGTAACCTTCTCCACCTTGGTCAGTTTAAGGATAATTAATGTATTTTTATAGTGTTTATTTGAAAGAATTAAAACAGATTCATGTCTATCCTTGTATTATTCAGCTGGTTGAGATTGATATGGGATTTTGAAAGTAATTATATTTTTTATTTTGCTTTTTATTGAACATGAAAATCAGTCAAAAGCATCAGTGAACATCAGTGTTAACAATGACATTTTAGTTCCTTTTTATTCTCCCCTTTATCCCTTTAATGCAACCCCCCACCCAGGAAAAAAAAACAATAATAGTAATGATAAATGAATTAAATTATAATAATAGTAACTAAAAAAACAGAATAACACAGATAAAAGGGAAAGTAAATAACAATTACACACAGCAAGTTAGATCTCAGAGAAGACAATAAATAAACAATGTTTAGACTTTACAGGACTAGTAAGTTTACACAGAGGTAAAGGACATAGTAGGAATAGTTTCCTTTTTTTATATATAAACCTCACTTTTTATATTCTCAATTTGGGAAAGAAAGGGACCCCATATTTTTTTTAAAGTAATTATTATTTAAAAGTAATTAAATACTTTTTAGAGAGAGTAATTAGTACAGTAATCTAATTACACTTTTGAAGAGGTAATTAGTAACTAGTAATTAATTACTTTTTTAGAGTAACTTACCCAACACTGGTTATGATTAGCTAATCATTTTGCGAGTAAAATAAGCAGCAAAATCTTGTTTATATAAATGTGGCCAAGTCGTGTCGTGTCGGGTCTATGATGTAAACGGGTACTGGAAGCTCTTTGGTGTTGTAAATGTTCAAGGTGAACATGAATCACCTCTGTGATACTGCCCTCAAAAAACATTGTTTTGTATGAACACAGTAATAATATCCTCTCTTACCTGTAATACGTAGATCTGGAAGCTGATGCCCAGGTCCACTACGGTCTCCTGGGTTTTGATAAAGTTGTTGAATTTGTTGTTGAGGTCCGTGCTGACGCTCATATCAGTGTACATTCTGTGCAGTTTGCTTGTGAATTCATAGCCACACGCTTGCTGCAAGGCAGAGAGAGGGAACAATGAAAGGTCTGCTCGCTTTAATCTCACGCAACCCTTCATCAGCCTCAACACTCGGCTAGAGAGGCACGTCCCTGAACCTTTACACACTTTTCAAGAAAGACGGCGGTGTGTACCTTCAGTTTGTTGATCATGGCTTCCTCGGAGTCCATGGATAATGAAAGTCCGTGTATTAACCTCTTTGCCAGCATCCTGGCATAAAACTAAGAATAAAAGACAATTAAAAAGAGAGGAAAAAAGTCAGTGAGTGCTAACCCAGATAGCAAACTGACATTGAATCAACGTGGAAATATGACATCGAAACAACGTTGATCTGACATTGTTTTGCTCATCGAATTAACGTTGAACCAACGTCAGACGCGTCATTCTTTCAAAACTAACGGAAAATCAACTTGAAATCGACGCGTTGTTTCAACGTTATGAAAGCAAACCAATTTTCGATTTCATTTAGCTTTGAAGAATGCCGCGTCTGACGTTGGTTCAACGTAATTCGATGAGCAAATCAACGTTGTTTCAATGTCATGAGAGACGTCGTTTCCACGTTGATTCAATGTCAGTTTGCTGTCTGGGAACACAGACACAAAATGAAAGAAAATATATAAACACTTTCATGATTTAACATTTAAAATGTTTTAACACTTTGCAAACGTGTTTGTTATATTGCTAGCACAACAACACTAGCATTTTGTTACGTTTTAGCACACTGATAGCATTTTCCTAACATGTTTTAACATTTTCATATCACGTGGTAACATGTTTAACACTATGTTGACAACGTGCTGTTTTCTAACATGTTAACATGTTAAAACATATTGCTAGCATATTACTAGCATGTTTTAACATGTCGCTAACATGTTTAACATGTTTTAACACATTCATAACAAATGTGTTCAAGCCAGGTCAGAATTAATGTAATTATATGATTTCAAAGAATCGCGTCTTCAATTTTTTTTTAATGCATTCTGAGTCTCGCAATTACGTTTTAGCATTTATTTTTAGCATATTATGGCATGTTAGCATGCTACTAGCATCTTTTAAAACATTCCTAACACAATGCTATAACACACTGTTAAAGTTGAACATGTTACTTAGTGTTTTTTTAAAAACATTTTGCCGTTTTAACGTTATCGTGCTGCTATCATGTTTTAACACGTCCATAGTATGTGCTAACACGTTTTAACATGTTGATTACATATTTTAACATAGTGCTAACATCTTCTCACATTAACTTCTTGTTAAGGTTAACATGATTTAACATGTTTTAACACATTCATAACAAATGTGTTCAAGCCATGTCAGAATTAATTATATGATTTTAAAGATTCGCGTCTTCAATTTTTTTTTTATGCATTCTGAGTCTCGCAATTACGTTTTAGCATTTCTTTTTAGCATATAGCATGTTAGCATGCTACTAGCATCTTTTAAAACATTCCTAACACAACAATGCTATTTTAACACACTGTTAAAGTTGAACATGTTACTAAAATGTAGTGGATTTTTAAAAACATTTCGCCGTTTTAACGTTATCGTGCTGCTATCATGTTTTAACACGTCCATAGTATGTGCTAACACGTTTTAACATGTTGATTACATATTTTAACATAGTGCTAACATCTTCTCACATTAACTTCTTGTTAAGGTTAACATGATTTAACATGTTTTAACACATTCATAACAAAAGTGTTCAAGCCATGTCAGAATTAATTATATGATTTTAAAGAATCGCGTCTTCAATTTTTTTTTTATGCATTCTGAGTCTCGCAATTACGTTTTAGCATTTCTTTTTAGCATATTATAGCATGTTAGCATGCTACTAGCATCTTTTAAAACATTCCTAACACAACAATGCTATTTTAACACACTGTTAAAGTTAAACATGTTACTAAAATGTAGTGTTTTTTAAAAAAAAAAAAATTAGCCATTTTAACGTTATCGTGCTGCTATCATGTTTTAACACGTCCAACATTAACTTCTTGTTGAAGTTAACATGATTTAACATGTTAACATTGCTAACATGTTTTAACAAATTGCTAACACATTTATAACACATGTTCAAGCCATGTCGGAATTAATGTAATTAATGTAATACATGATTTCAAAGAATCGCGTCCTCAACTTTGTTTACAACTTTAACTTTTATTTTTTTTTATGCATTTTGAGTCCGAGGATGTGAAAAGAGTCACTGGTTGTCATATCGCAATTACAGTAATTACAATGGCATGAACGCAGCTCATGTTTCTCACGTTTTAGCATTTCTTTTTAGCATATTATAGCATGTTAGCATGCTACTAGCATCTTTTAAAACATTCCTAACACAACAATGCTATTAACACACTGTTAAAGTTGAACATGTCACTTAAATGTAGTGTTTTTTTAAAAACATTTCGCCGTTTTAACGTTATCGTGCTGCTATCATGTTTTAACACGTCCATAGTATGTGCTAACACGTTTTAACATGTTGATTACATATTTTAACATAGTGCTAACATCTTCTCATTTCTAACCACTTGTTGAAGTTAACATGCTTTAATATTGCTAAGATGTTTTAACATGTTTCTCACATGTGAAATTTTTTTGCTAGCATGTTTTAACACAGCTTACAACAATTTTAGCACTTTGTTAAAACATGCTAGCATAGGGATCTATTGATGCTAGCACATCAATAGCTTTTAGCTGACATCGCAGACTATAATTTGTCCAATTTTAATAAATGTTTTAGACATTAATATTTTTGGTTTGTTTTCCCAATAAGTTTTTTTTTATAGTTTTTAGGGGTTATTTTGTCAACTTTTAATTTAAATGCAAGCAACACAGGTTCGTTTCCCCATTTTCTCCTTTGCATCATTTCCTGTTCTCTTTAAACGTTCAAATCACGGCCTCACCTTCTGAAACACATCTTTGTCGTCGATGTATTTGAAGACTGTGATGAAGCTGGTCAGTTTGTCCTCAACTTCATTCTCCGTCATTCCTTTCGCAGATTTCTTCAACAGGTTGTCACAGTACTTGGCCAGCTGTGCAGCGCCACAGAGGAAAGAGAGTGTTAATGTTCAGTCAGTGTGTGTTCATTAGGTTGGTAAGAGTTTAGTCATCCTGATCTAACATTGGCAGGATAAACAGTGGTTACGCACCAGCTCAGGCGCTTTGCAGATGGATTTGGGCTCTCTGAAGTTCACTACTGAAGTCAAGGCCTGGAAGGGAAATGAGCAATAAAAGCACAAACCACAAACTCCAGTGTTTGGAAACACTCGTGTGAACCCGAGGTCAAAGCTTTCTCAATACCAGATACCCCCTACTGGACTAAAGCCAGAGTGTTTGCAGAGTTTCAACTGAAAGATTAATTTTCTGGAGAAAATGTGAGTGATGCTCTTCTGTGTTTAATTCAATTAAGTTGCTGAGGTGTGTTTTAGAGTATGTTATATTAATTTCAATAACTGCATAATAATAAATGAATAAATTAAATTAAAAATATTTTTTTTTTATTCTGTACCAACATTACATTATGTTATTGCATTCCATAACATTATAATGTATATTAATATATATTTTATTATATCATATAATAATTTCCATTATTTTATTTGTATTATTTCATTATAATTTTTTTTTATTATTATTTCTGTAACATTAATTTTCCGGAGAAAAGGTGAGTGATGCTCTTCTGTGTTTAATTCAATTAAGTTGCGGAGGCGTTTTATATTATATTATATTATATTATTATTATATCATATAATAATAATAATAATTTTATTTGTATTATTTCATTATTATTTCAAAGTATTGAGTTTTTACTATCCTTATGTTATGTTATTATATTATAATTTATCATATTATAAATCAGTTTCCATAATTGCGTTTGTAATATTTCAAAGTATTAATGTTTTTACTATTATTATACAACATTACATTAAATTACTATATAATCTCCTTAATTGCATTTGTATTATTTCTAAGTATTGATGTTTTTATTATTATTATTATTATGTTAGATTATTACATCATAGCTTATTATATTATGTATTAATCTCCATAATTGCATTTGTATTATTTCTAAGTATTGGATTTTGTACTATCATTACATTACGCTATTGCATTACATAACAACATTATAATGTATTTTAATATATCTTTTATTATATCATATAATAATTTCCATAATTGCATTTGTATTATTTCATTATTAGAAGTATTGATTTAAGTATTGAGGTTTTTTTTACTATCCTTGTGTTGTTATTATATTATAATTTATCATATTATATATCAGTTTCCATAATTGCAATTGTATTATTTCAAAGTATTAATATTTTTACTATCATTATGATGTTATTATACAACATTACATTAAATTACTATATAATCTCCATAATTGCATTTGTATTATTAATTAGTATTGATATTTTTACTATCATTACGTTAGGTTATTACATCATAATTTATTATATTATGTATTAATCACCATAATTGCATTTGTATAATTTCTAAGTATTGATGTTTTTACTATTATTATGTTAGATTATTACATCATAATTTATTATATTATATATTAACCTCCATAATTGCATTTGTATTATTTCTAAGTATCGATGTTTTTACTATTATTATGTTAGATTATTACATCATAATTTATTATATTATATATTAACCTCCATAATTGCATTTGTATTATTTCTAAGTATTGATGTTTTTTCTATCATTACATCATATCTTACTATATTATATATTAATCTCCATAATTGCATTTGTATTATTTCTAAGTTTTGATGTTTTTACTATTACTATGTTAAGTTATTAAATTGGTAACACTTTATTTTAAAGTTTTATCCACATTACAAATGTTACATGTACATCCTATAGTAATAACAGTAAATTATGCATAATTACAAGCAACTCTAAACCAAACCCTACCCTTAATGTTGTTAATCAATATTACTTGATTAACAACAATATTACAATATTACATTTTTGCAATGATTACACTGTAATAAGGGCACCTTAAAATAAAGTGTAGTCTTTATATTACATTATACTGTGTAAATATTTCAAATTATTGTTTTTACTACCAATAATGAGCGTCTTTGCCAGTTACTGTATCGACAGTTGTAAATCATTGTGTTGAAAGGTAAGTTTACCTTATCAAGAGCACTCATGAAGTGTTGGTCCCCATTCAACACTGTGTTAATCAACTGGACAAATTTACTATGAACCTCTAACACGGACTCCACAAACTGGGTTGGCATCTGCAAGACAAAGATCAGAGAGCACCGCAATTAATGCTATATACAAAAAATTCTGCTTTAATCACACATATAGCTACCGAGCAGACTCCAAGGCCCGGTGTCCACCAAAGCGTTTTTTTTTTTTACAATTGTTTTCAATGGGAGGGCCGCGTTTTTTAAACGAGCGTAACGAGGCGCTGAGCATTTTATCACACTGAAGCGATAAGCGCCCGCCGTTTTTTACTGGTCGAGAGTTTTACAGATTTTTATGTTGTAAGTTAAATGTTGAATTTTCAACTTTGGGTAAAACGCAGCGCTCATCACGGTCACTTTTCACCCAACCATCCAATCACAGTGGAGGAGGGGCGGGGCTAATACCACACCGACCAACCGCCACATTCTACTTGTACAATAGACGACAACAACAAGCAAAATAACGGAACAAAATAATTCAAAACAAGAGCCAGAGAAAAGACGCTACATTGTATCGATATTTAAAAAATAGAAACAAAATATGTGTGAAATATCATTTATTTATTTTTATTTTTTACATTTAGCTGTTTTGACGTTATCGTGCTGCTATCATGTTCTAACATGTCCATAGTATGTGCTAACACGTTTTAACATGTTGATTACATATTTTAACATAGTGCTGCTAACATCTTCTCACATGTGAAATTTTTTTGCTACTAGTAACAATTCGTGGATATCCCGTATCATAACAAGCAAAGCGTCTCAACTGAAAAAAACGCTGCAAGCACCCATGGCTAGGTGTTTCCAGTCTTTAGTGGACACACGGCCTGAGTCTGGAACCGTTTAAAGCCCTTTGAAGCTGCACTGAAACTCTCATTTGGACCTTGAACCGTTTGGTTCCCATTGAAGTCCATTATATGGAGAAAATCCTGGAATGTTTTCATCAAAAACTTTAATTTCTTTTCGACTGAAGAAAGAAAGACATGGACATCTTGGATAACACGGGGGTGAGTAAATTACCAGCAAAAGTTTTTTTAAAAAGTGAACTACTCCTTTGAAACTAAATCTAAAAAAAAACTAATTCAAAGTATTTTAATCATTTAAGCCTCGCCTATGAAACAAAGCAACTTTCCACACGACCCCAGTTACTCACGTTTTCCTGAGAGAGGTTACTGGTGGCTCTGAGACCCTCTTCATGGATGTGGACCTGGAGCTCTTGGATCATGTGAGGTAAGCCGCTGGACACGGCCCGCAGTAGCGTGTACATATTCGCCATATCTGAAACCAGACAAAGCATCAAGACCACCTCCTACATTTACAACAAGCCAATGGACTACTTGCACAACTACTTCCGCGTTCTCCTTATTACATCCCGGGAATTTGCGGTAACAGCGTCAGCGAGACCAAGACGAGACCGGAGGGGAAAAACACAGACTAGTGTTGATGAAGTTAAGCAATAACTTTAATAACAGATACAGATATCAATAAACAATAAAAGATTTTGTTTTGCTTTGCCTGCCTATCTCTGCCGATTTCGAAGTCTCCAAATGAATCCATTCTGCAACTTTTAAATACATAATTATAAAATTATAAGCTTAAGTGCAGGATCCAAAACACACACTGTTGGCGGTAGAGCCAGACCGATAAAGGATTTTGAAGGCCGATACCGATACAAATATTTTTGGGTTTTAAAATCCGATATATCGGCCGATATTTTATTTATTCATTTGAAACTGGACATGATAGTCACAAATTTTGTCATGCTTATTTGAGTTGAGAGAACTGATGGGGATGATCTTTTAATTGTTATTCAAGCAATGTATGTATCGTGACCAACTCAACGAGTGTTGCCAACAGGGACGGTGTAGAGTGCCCTCTGGTGGACAAACTACACAACTCCAACACTCATGACATGGTTCAAGCGTGTTTCGTCCATGTTTATTTTATTGTTGAAATATTCATTTATCGGCCATTATAACTGCCGATACGATAGTTTGGAAAATGCCTAATATCGGTCTGCCGATATATCGGTCTGGCTCTAGTTGGCGGTGTGCTCAAAGTCATCCGTCAGTTGTGCAGTTACCCAAAATCTCCTGAATGAAGTTAAAACCCATGATGTAACTGATTTGTGTTTTACTTAATATTAATACATCAAAACTGTACATGATAAAGGGTTGATGAGAACCTACATAACTCCGGTCAAGCTGAACCGTTGGTCACCTAATATCCCAGATAGATCCCAGTTTTGATGGAAAGGGTCCTCTTTTTCACTGTGTATGGGACTGTCCAAAATTACATCAATATTGAAAAGTCAATCATGCAGACTTTGTCAAAAATTGTTGGAGTAAATATACCTGCTGAGGCAAAAATATATGTGTTGGGAACTGTGTTTTTTAGCTCCAGACAAATAAAACTGATTGACTTTGGACTCCTGCAAGCCAGGCGGTTAATATCTCTGTACTGGAAGAAAATGGAGGTACCCTCAAATCTTATATGGGTGAAGGAGATGGCATCATGTATTGTTTTGGAACGACTCACTTATATTGTTAGAGGGAAGGGAAGACATTTTGAAGAAATATGGTCACCATTAACTGAGTTTCTAAGACATTATGAAGGAAATTAAGAAAGTAAAGCTGACTGTCGAGTTGTTGTTTTTTTTTTTTTTAATCTTTTTTTTTTGTTACTCTGTTATGTGACGTTTTTTACTTTTTACTTTGGGGATTAAGTTTTGAAATATTAAGCTTTTGTCAATGTATCCCTTGCTTGTTTTGTTAAAATTCAATAAATATAACGTTCAAAAAAAAAAAAAACTGTACATGATATGTGTTTTTTTTTAATTAAGTGATCAAAATGTTCGTTGCCGCTGCGATCAATAGCGCAGACACGGTGTTTTCTCGTGTTGTCTTCACTTGGACGTGCGCTTCAATCCGCTGCGGATATCGTTGTGGATATTGTAGTATTGTATTGCTAAATACCCTGACCAGACCTAGACGAGACCGAGAGGTCCGAGACCGAGACCGTCAAGGCCGTGACTAGACCGAGATCTAGAGACATACATCACTACCTTTTAAGTTGAATTACTTCACTTTTGCACGATATTCTAATTTTCGGAGTTTCACCTGTACACACAAACACAGGGTTCCCACACCTTGGTTAACCTGAAATTGAAGGACCTTTTAAGGACTTTCCAGATCAAATACCCTCAAATTCAAAGACCTCTTCTTTTAATGGTCACACTTGTCTCCGTTGCAGTCAAAACAAGTGACCGAAGCCTTGAACTGTAGGCTTTTGTTCAATAATATTGTTTTGATTATATTATTCAGAATTTTGAACGGATTTTGATACTATGCAATATTTAGCAATTTTTTCCATTTTTTTTTTTTCAATAAATTTCACATTAAAATAGAGTGGAGGCCTTTAAAATCCATTTTTTGAGCTAGAGTTCTCTAAAAAAAGCACTTTATGTGTGGATTTGTTATTTGCAAGGGGTTATTTTTTCACCATGTTCTAGTTGGTGACTGGGGAAATTACTGTTGCACTAAACTGATTGCTTTTATTTTTTGTTTTGCTAACTCTGGGTTAGGGAAGGAACTCTCTTATGTTTACATTGCACAAATGTTACTTGGGATCCGTACTACCATAATTTATAAATACTCAACACTAATATAAATGAACGCTCACACTGATGTATCAGGTACTTGCCAGATAAACCTTGTTAGTTGGAATGTTAAGTCTCTAAATCATCCAGTGAAACGCCGAAAAATACTCTCACACCTTAAGGAGCTGAATGCAGATGTCGCCTTTCTGCAAGAAACCCATTTGAATACATCTGACCATTTTAGACTTAGAGGAGGATGGGTGGGACAAATTTTCCACTCTATTTTTCATTCTAAATCTAGAGGAACAGCTATCTTGATCAAAAAGACTATCCCATTTGTAATGTCAAAAGTTGATGCTGACTCTGCTGGCCGTTATATAATAGTAGTGGGCAGATTGAACAATACCCCAGTAGTTCTGGCGAATGTGTACGCACCTAACTGGGATGACAGTGCATTTTTTACCAGCCTCTTCTCTCGAATACCTGATATAGATACACATCATGTCATATTAGGAGGAGATATTAATTGTGTACTGTCGCCTTCACTGGATCGCAGTTCACCCAAGACCATGCAACTAACTCGTTCAACAGCAGTACTTAATCAGCTTCTTAAAACGTACGGAATGACTGATGTTTGGCGCTTTCAGAATCCTGGGCGCAGAGGCTATTCCTTCTATTCACCGGTTCACAAAAACATATTCTCGAATCGATTATTTCTTTGTTGATAATAGTTTACTTTCTAGAGTCAGTAAATGTGAATACCAAGCAATAGTGATATCAGACCACGCACCACTGTTAATTACTTTAAACTTGCCTACCACAAGCAGTGGGTATCGGCCGTGGCGATTTAATACATTACTTCTCTCAGATACTGGGTTTGTTAAATTTATTTCTAAGGAAATACATGAGTTTTTAGAACATAACCGGACCCCAGGGGTGTCCTACTGTCTAATTTGGGAAACGTTAAAAGCCTATCTCAGAGGCCAAATCATATCATATAGTGCCCGTGTAAAGAAAAAACAACAGGAAAGGCTTAAAAAGATAGAAATTGATATCTTGCAAATAGATGGGGTCCTCTCACACTCGCCATCAGTCGATTTATTTAAGAAACGATTGGCTCTTCAGACAGAATTCAATTTGTTATCTACAAAACTTATTGAGAACCTTTTGAATAAATCCAGACACAAGTCTTATGAACATGGCGAAAAGATAGGGAAAATCTTAGCTCATCAACTACGGCAACAAAGTGTTGACCAGCTAATTCTCGAAATTATTGATGAACACGACAAAAAACTTACTGATCCATTAGAGATTAATAATAGGTTTATGGAGTATTATTCGCAATTATATACATCGGAATCCAGTAGAAATGAAGTACTGTTTGACTCATTTTTTAGCAAATTTACTCTACCTACTATTGATGAACAATATGCCTCAGATTTGGAAAGACCATTTTCAAAGGCCGAAATATTGAAAGCAATTGCCACCATGCAAAGTGGAAAATCGCCGGGGCCAGATGGTTTTCCGAGCGAATTTTTCAAAAAATTTTCATCTGAACTCTCCCCTATTTTACTCGCTGTCTATGAGGAGTCCTTCATCTCAGGGTCGCTACCAGAAACCATGAGACAAGCAGTTATTTCTTTAATTCATAAAAAGGGTAAAAGTAAATTAGATTGTAGCTCATATCGACCTATCTCATTGTTAAATGTTGATAGTAAAATATTTGCCAAAATTTTAGCTTGTCGATTAGAAATTGTTATACCTTCAATAGTGTCTAATGATCAGACTGGTTTTATTAAAAATCGATATTCATTCTATAATATACGCAGACTTTTGAATATTCTCCATTATCCCACTCCACCCGATATACCTGAGGTGCTTCTGTCACTTGATGCTGAAAAAGCATTTGATCGGGTGGAGTGGGACTACCTCTTCTATACCTTGAAGAAATTTGGCTTTGGTGCCAAATTCATTTCATGGATTAATGTTTTATATTCCTCTCCTGTAGCAGCAATTCGGACAAACAATAGCATCTCATCCTTTTTCCAATTAGGCCGCGGGACTAGACAGGGTTGCCCATTATCCCCCTCATTATTTGCACTGATGATTGAGCCCCTGGCAGTGGCAATACGGTCCGATAATACTATTAAAGGCATACTGAGGGATGGATCAGAACATAAAGTGTCCCTTTATGCGGATGATATACCCTCTTGTATGTGTCTGACCCGCTAAAGACCCTGCCTCATCTACTGTCATTACTTGATAGTTTTTGGTAAAATATCAGGATATAAAATAAACATGCAAAAAAGCGAACTTATGCTGATTAACACTGCAGCCAGACTAATCTCATTTAACTCCTTACCGTTTAAATTGAGTAAAGATAAATTTAAGTATTTGGGTATATGTATTACTAATAATTACAAGAACCTCTATAAAACTAATTTTATTCCATTGATAGATTCTATAAAACAAGATTTTGAGCGTTGGGGTACATTACCGCTATCACTAGGAGGCAGGATAAGCACTGTCAAGATGAATATCCTACCTAGATTTCTATATCTGTTCCAGTGTATCCCGATATTTTTAACTAAATCTTTTTTCCTACTGATAGACAGGCTGATATCAACTTTTATATGGAATGGGAAAAATGCACGCATCCGTAAAAGTGTTTTGCAGCGACACCGAGATCATGGAGGACTATCATTACCCAATTT